GACTAAACATCTCAACGGAGCAGGACCCCCCATTGAAAAGGAGGGATCAAAAGTCTTGAGACTCAATGTTGCTTTCCTTGGTCCGTAATTAAAGTTATTGTTGCTGTTGTTGTTGTTGTTATTCAGTGCGTGCTAAATGCATGTCGGCAAATAAAACGGAACAATGGAATTTGCTCTGATTGAAATGCGACTGATCGGGTGAGTTGACTATTTCTAGTAATATTAATTTAATTTAATAAAGCGTAAGCCATGCCAATTTCATCCCACAAATCTGTACGTTAATTATATATTCCAGCCCAATCTTATTTATAGCAACTAACAAGCAAATGAAACACCTTCAGAAAATGTTACAATAAACCAAAGCGCACCAACACAAAAGAAATACAAACAACAACAACAAATGATAATCGGTTGTCCCCCTTTTTTCTGGCAATAAAACAGCTGTGTTAAGATGATAAAACACCAAACTAAAACATTTTTGCAAGGAAGCATGTCTGCATTAACCACAATGCTTGTGGTCAGAATGCAAACAAAAAACATACTCTGATAATATATGCATTGTCCTTGAAATTGATTGGTCCACACCAGAGATAGCTTTCTTTTGAGCCTCGTCTCAAACGGTGTTAGACCAGAGGACGCCTTTTGGCGTCTTCTGGTCTAACAAATTCATCACGGCAGAGAAACGAGTCAATTAAAGTCTCCACATCCCAGACCCCAAATCCCAACTCCTCACACCCGCCAGCAAAACCTTCACATGAAGCAATGCGGGGTTCGAGCCTGGCTCTTGCTTTGATGGGCGACCACCACGAGCGCCACGGCTGACAAAGGCGGCTGCGTTGCTGAGCTCTGTGTTGGTCAACAGAAGACCGCGTGCACTTCGCCCCGTAGTTGTACTGTACTCTGCTGGGTTTCTAGGCTCGCGCGTCTTCGCTGCCGCCTTTACCAGCCCGCCCTGACCAGTAAGTGTCGTGAGGTGAGAGGCAGACAAGCCCGAAGACCCATTAGGGCGGAGGGGAAAACTCTCTTCAAGCAGTAGATTGACAAGGGCTTTAAATGCCACGTGTACACATTTCAATGGGCAATTTCGTTTGTTATATGTCCAATCAATTTTAATTTGCATCTAACTCGATTTGAATTTCCAAATCTATTTTTTTTGAATGAACATCACTTATTGAGTGGACGAGCCAGTGAGTTCATTGCAAATCCAATAATCTCCCCGTACCCCCCTCTCCCCCCTCTGTGTGTGTGTCTCTCTATGTGTGTCTCTTTCTCTGTCGCTCTCATTGTGTGTCTCTCTCTCTCTCTGTGTGTGTCTTTCTCTCTGTTCCTGTGTGTGTGTGTCTCTCTCTGTCTCTTTCTATCTCTATCCGTGTGTGTATCTCTATCTCTCTGCGTCTCTCTCTCTCTGTCTCGCTGTCTCTCTGTCTGTGTCTCACATTTCTCATTCCCTACTGCGTGGAAAAGTCCTCCTGCTCCCTCCCTCCCTCCATCCTCTCCGTGTGTCGGCTCTTCTGGCAGGACTACCACGACATTTGTATTCCTTGCGCAGGTGCGTACTCAACCGGAGTTGTGGCGGTGGTAGTGGTGGTGTTGTTGGTGCCTGCGAGGCGTTAACGCAGTCGCCCCTGCCTCCACCTCTTCCTCTCTTCCCTCCCGTCTCACGCCGTGGGTCGTTCTGCAGATCCGTCTCCTCTCGGTATGCCACCGTCCACACGCAGCAGCAGCAGCAGCAGCAGCAGCAATCACCATCATCGAGTATTGATTGACTTGCTCTGTGAATTATGACGTATGACCGTAGTTGCTTCTTGAGCTATTGGCCCGAAAATATTGTATCGGGTCGCACACGTGGCGGCAAAAAAGCTAACATTGGTTTTCTTTAAGCATTGCAGCTCTAGATCGCAGAGACATATGGCAGCAAGGCCGCTGTGGTAGCCTGTGTACGAGAAAAAGGTGATCTTAAAGAAGGGTCTCGTGGTATGTACGATGGAGGCTCTGGTGTTGGAAATAAACACACTGTGCGATGTGAAACATCAGCGGAATATGAGAATAGAGCGGAGCAGTGCATGTCTACACGCAACAAGCGGCATGTGCCCTAAGCTGTCCCCATGGTAGCCACTGGCCGTATTGGGGACTGGTCCCATATGCCGCTCAGATGGTAGCGACCATCCATCATGGGCTAAGTAGCTCTGTGGCGCAGCAGTGGTTTTCACAGTGGTCATCACACTGCGCTGTGAACCTGGCACACCCGAGTTTGATTCCCCGGCCACGGCTACCATCTGTGGCGAGCGATATCCGAAACGATCCTGGGCCACCCGTAGGTCGACTCAGCCTTAATTTAGTAAAACTGATGCGGTTTGTAAGCGCGGTTCTGCCCACCCGCCCTTCTGGTGTGTCGCGTTGGCTTCATCGGCGCTCGCGACCAGCACTCGCGCTCCGCGGGAGATCTTCGCCTTCGTTGGTAGCTGCAGCGCAGTGGTTAGCGCACTAGACGTACTACGAACCCGGCGACCAGGGTTCGATTCCCGGCCACGGCTAACATCAGCGGCGAGTGATATCCGAACCGGTCCCATCGCCTACCCGGTTCTGACTCGCGTGGTGAAGCATCGGTTAATGAACTGCCAAGAGCAGAGAGGCCATCATCTAGCAGTAGATTGGCGTAATTATGTACATGTGTTTTTAAGTATATATACTTAAAGATTAACTTCAGCATTCAAGATGTGATTGTGATATAGCTAAGCCGTAATTATAATATATATTTTGGGGGGGAGACATCCCCCCCCCAATAATCAAATGTGCTTAAAATATGCCCCCCAATATATTGCTATAAAAATATTTTTTAAAGAATAATCGCGATGCTATGTAAATAAAAACAACAATTTGCTAAACCTTGGCCACAATATCTGGACTCGTCTTCATATAACAATGCATAGATTTCTATTGATATGATTGTGGTTATGGTTATACTTTATTAATCCCTAATCTCTGCCATTACATACAATGAAACAAGAAAAGGTAAAAAAGATAAAACAGAGCAATGTAATACAATACACTATTAGACATTATTGTAAAAAATAAATAAAAAGTCCATCCCATGTGTTAGTGATTTTTTTTTTTTAGGCAGGAAATTAGTTTTCAAATTTAGAGTTTTTTCTGGGGGGGGGGGGGCAGACCCCCTGGAAGATTTGGTCCCCCCCCCCCCAATGTTGACTCCACGGCTACGGCCTTGTGATATAGCCAGGGTTGGATTATTCGCAAGCGTTGACAATTCACGTGGGTGGGGCATCGTTAAATCTGGGTAGGCCTTCATCCGGCAGCGGATTGACCACGTCTCTACGAATTAATAACGCTTGGCCTTACATTCATATTTCACGAAATCGCAGTAAGAGAGGAATATCAAGAGTGCCAATAGTAGGGCGCGATTCGTGAGAACATCGTTTTTGCCAGCAGAACATTGCGTGTGAAAAACACATTTTACGAAAGGGGAAAAAAAACCCTCCAAGACCCGTGAGTGAGTTTCCACGTGTTTCCGAGAAGGAGTACAAAACACTGCCCAGGGGCCACAAGAAAATGGTTTCAGAGGGGGTGACCCGGCAGAGTCACTCATTGTACCCACGCAGTTAAAGCAACAAAACAAGGAGCGCATTAGTGAGTGGGGGAGATGGTTCTCTCTTCAGTGTCAGTCGACCTGAATCGAGTTCAAATCATTCACTCGACGACTCTCTTCGAGCGAATCGAAGCTTCCGGGTCGGGAATCGGCAACGAATGCAATGCCGTTCGCTCCATTCTCTGCCATTTCAGTATACATGTAATCATAAATTAATAAGCTGTTGACGCAGGCTGTTTTGTTTGCCTTTACACTGACATCTGCTGCTGTCACTTCTCCAAATGCTAAAGGGATCCTGTTGAGGGCTGGCCTAGCCCTTATCTCAGAGAGGATAAGATTGCTCCGATTTGAACTAGACAATTTAGACAAGGCTCTCCTGAAATCACACTTAACATTGACGGAAAAAAATGTCTACATCTGATTGGGAACATGTAGATAACATGACAGCCTCTTCAGCCGCTTCAATGTCATCTAGATGCAAAGATAACCTGATTTCCAAGATCAACACCTTAAAAACAGCCTGCCTCAGCAGCTTTCCCGCTCTTTTTTCTCCTGATGACGATTGCTTGTGTTGCGATCGAAACGTCGTGGTTTTTTGTTATTTTTGTTATTTCTTTGAACCTATCTACGTAACTTTACCGAAAGACCCAAGAATCATAAGTCCTCTATTTACCCACGAAATCCTCACTGAGTCGCTCAAGAGCTTTGTTTTGGAAGGGTCCTGTTGGTACCTGTTGGATTCTTCATTGAGGAGGTAGATTGTTGTTGTTGTTATTGTGTTGTTAGAGAAAAACGGAGTTTCTGGAGAAATTACCACCGCCACGACAGACGAACCTCAAACCATCCCACCACCACCAGCAGCACCATACTACACCATAATCCCACACTGGCATTCCCACCGACCCAAACGACTACCACCGATTCGCATCACACCATATCACCACCGACGCATACCACCACCCGAATTTGTTGTCGTTACAAAATCTCACCACCATCACCAGCATCACCGACCACCAACTCATACAACCACCACCATTATTATCACTACCACCCTACAACCACCACTAACCACCACCACCACGCCCAGCAAACTCCACCACCACCACCACGCCCAGCAAACTCCACCACCACCACTCCCAGCAAACTTCACCACCACCACTACACCCAGCAAACTCCACCACCACCACTACTCCCAGCAAACTCCACCACCACCACTCCCAGCAAACTTCACCACCACCACTACACCCAGCGAACGCCACCACTTTGAGTCATTCTGTGCTTGTTGTTCTTGTTGTTGTTCCTGCGCTTCGCTGACGGCCGCAGGCGGAGGTGGTCGAGCACGTGGGTTGATTGTGGGGGGCGGCGGTGGTGGTGTTGGTGGTGGTGGTGAGGGTCCATGGGGATGGAGTCGCGATCCGGCGCGGAGCTGCCGCCCATCGATCTGGACAAGGGCCTCGCCTTCGCCTTCCTTTCTCTGCTCTGCCTCTTCCTGCTCATCATGATCGTCAAGTGCGTCAAGGTGGTGCTCGACCCCTACAGCGAGATGTCTACCTCCTCCTGGGAAGAGCAGAGGCTGGAGACGTGATCCGATCTTCTGAGAACACCCCGGACCGCCACCCCCACAACAGACAAAGACAAACATCCGTAAAAAAAATAGCAACTGTTAAACTAAACTATTTTTTTTTCTATTTTAGCAGGTAAGCCCCACTGAGCTATGTAGTAGCCCTTTTTCGGAAGCGACCAGGCAATCACAAACGACAGCTCAACGAAGTGGCTCGTCATCACGTGGGAATTGTATCGCAGTCAAATTCCTGTTGCTGTTGATTCTAAATGCGGAGGGGAAAATACCGGAGGAGGACCCAGAGATGCAATCCACGCGCCCGACGTGGAGAGAGAGAGAGAAACATGCAAACTCCAAATAGACAAAAGGCGTCAGCGTCCGGATCTGAACCCACGACCTCCTGTAGACCAGGCGAGGCAGTTAACATCTCGCCACCGTGGCACACCGGCCCCCTAGCCCCCAGCCCACCACGCCAACAAAGACAATCCTCTGCTGAGTTTTCGCTGACTGCTCGTTAAGTGCTGTTAGCGGGCACCTCTTAAGGCCAATGCGGCGAACAGACGGGGAGTGGTGGCCAGCACCACGCCCAGTCGCCTCTGTCTCCCCAGTGCTGGTGTTTGCTCAGTGCACCAGACACTGATTTGTAAAAAGGCCGAGTCTACCGTGTTCGTCGCCGATGTTGACCGTGAGCGAGAATCGAACGCGGCTCTTCGGGTTTGCAGTGCAGTGCGCTCACCCCTCCTTCGCTCCTTGCACCCCCCACATCTGCGCGCTTCACGACAACACAATTTACTTGCGAGATCTAAGCCAACCCCCTCCCCCCCACAAATTTTTTTTTTATGAATCAGGGTTATACATGTCTACTGACCCCATTGAATCACACAAAATACAAAGTTCCCCTGTAACGCCTGAATAGATTGTAGGGGCAAATGCTGTTAGCGAGCACCTATGAAGGCCGGAACGGTACACGAAGGGGTGGGTGGCTTGCACCACGCCCGACCGCCTTTGTCTCCCTAATGGCGATGTTTACACACCGCACCAGGTACTCATTTGAGGCTGAGTCGACCTAGGAGAGGCCCGGGACCGGTTCAGATAATCGTCACTGGTGTATGCCGTGAGCGGGAATCGAACTCGGTCGCCGGGTTCATAGCGCAGCACGCTAACCGCTACACTACCGCTCCCCACTCACACACAGACACAGACACACACACACAGACATACACACAGACACGCACACAGACACACACACACAGACACACACACACAGACACACACTCAGACACACACACAGACACGCACCTACTCGCCCACAGCTCACAAGAGACACGTGTTCTCGATGTATTACTTCACCAGACGTGGGATCGTCATTCTATAACGCGGTCAACATTGCTATACTCACACAAAAAATCTACTTCATGCAAATCAGAAAGATTAACAAATCGCGATGAAGATGATTTGACGTCGCATTAACAAGTCACTATCAGCGCCTCTGGGTCCATTCTCAAGTCCCGGGTTTCCAGACATCACGATTTTATTTGAACGAGGGCCATTTATTACCAGGAACTCTGTTTTTGGAGAAAAAAAAATCGATAGAAAGCTTAAAAATGTATACGTGCTTCCACGATGTCTATCATCCAGTATATGTGGTGATGCTGCTGCTATCCTATGGATAGACTCGCTTCCCGCCATAGTAATGGCGAATTTCCACGGCTGGCTGTAAACCAGAGAATAGCTGCATCTGCAGCAGGAAATGTGTGTATGTACTTTGAACTTCCTTCGCACCGTACGTAGCCAACGGTGCTAATCGGAGGTGCGTAGCCAATTGTGCTCATCGCAATCACCGCAGTTTTGCCGTTTCTGCTTGAAGCGATATCTTCAGAAGCTGGCAGAAGGAAAGAAGCGATGGCGAGGTGGGTCGGCATCGACGGCTTCGGCCGGAATGACCCCTTGACCTTGAGTTCTCACCCGGTTAACAAACCAACGTGACCAGAATGCAACAGCCGGTGAACGGTCGTCTCTGGCAGTGCACATCAAGTGCTACGTGTTGCTTTGACTGACCTGTGCCCTCTTCTAGGTCGACTCAGCCTAAAAGTGAGTTCCGTTAGTATTAGCGCTTAAGAGAAGATGGGAAAGCCAGGCGGGCGGGCGTGAGTGGCACTTTCCATCGTCAGCCTTAAAAGGTGCTCGCGCTCACAGAGATGCAGAATATTTCCCGGGTCGCCGGTCGACTTGAGGATGGCTGGGCACGTGCCTCGAATCACACAGCCGATAGCGAGCGGCATACTGGATGCGGTGTGCCGGGTGCGGGAGGAAAATTGTTCTGCAGAGTTGGATGACGTTAAGCCCCCCGGGGGGGGGGGGGGGGGCGGGGGGGGGGGGCGGGGGGGCTATGCAATGCGGACCATTCGTGAGAATGTATAGATTTCTAGACTGCAATATTTAAGTGGGCATGAGGCCACAACACGGCTGGTGTGTGTGAGAATTAGTCGCGTATAACGATTCTTGCTAACGGTATTTGACCCTTTGAGCTGTTAAGAGCCACGCAATTCACCGTTCCACGTGGCAAGTCACGCGTCACCTCCCGGTTGGGGTTGGTAGATCAAGAGGAGATTACCCCACCGCAAAAAAAACGAACACAACGTGACGCCTCTTAGTGTGTCGGTACAGCAAGTAGGACGCTGACCTACAGTCGTAGAATTAATGTGAGCGGTGTTTGTTCGAACGCCCCCCACCCTCCCCCCCCGTCGATTGCAGGTGGGTTTCCCCGGACGTTCGGCTTTCGCACCGCACGGTGCAATGCTTTAAATCAATAATAGAAACTCAACTGAACTCTCTTAGAGACGCGCACAAAATAAAAATGTGGCCAAACTCCCCAGTCGAAACCCGCCTGAAACCGAGCCTTGAGACTCCGTGTCGGGAGATGTGTTCATCTCCATGCAAACGATTCCATCATCATCATCATTATGAGATCTCCTTTACCAGCGGCAAAATATAGTGATAGGTTTTTACCCTTTCAACTGATACAAAAACTGACACCTTTATACAAGGCATCATGTTAGCAATAACCACAATACAAGCAGTCAAAATGCAAACAAAAAGAAACAACTCTGATGATGATAATGAAAAAGCGCACGCTTTTTGGCGTCATCTGGTCCAACACCAATGGGGACTAGGCTCTAAGAAAAGCTGTCTCGGGTGTGGACCAATCAACTTCAAGGACAGTGCATATCATCATCATCAGAGTTGTTTATTTTGTTTGCATTTTGACTGCTTGTGTTGTGGTTATTGCAAACATGATGCCTTGTATAAAGGTGTCAGTTTTTGTACCAGTTGAATGTATAAAAACCTATCACTATATCATCATCATTGTTTGTGTTTTTTAAATCACTGTATTCTCCACGTTATAAGACGCACCTATCCCCCCACCATCCCCACCCTAACCCCCACCCTTATATTTTGACGCAGAGAGATTGGGGCGCGTCTTATAATCCGGTAGGCGCGCGTGAGAAGGACCGTGACACGTGCACAAGCTTCATTGTTTGCCTGGACGTCGCGTTGTGGAGAATTTCGTCTTACCTCCTTCTCCGGAGAGGCTTATTGTCCGGAGTGGGGGAGGGGGAACGACAAGGCGGTACACACGAGATTCGTGCGTACAGTTCAGTAATCTCTCTCTCTCTATATATATGCATTTGTGTTTGACGAGTGTCCTGTGTGTGATGCGTTGTGCTGTGAGCTGCTCTGCTGCTTCGCAAAAGCTCGCACACTCAGCAATAATGACATTTTAAAAGCAATATAGCAGAGGCGGTCGTATACGTAAATGGAGGTCGTTTTGTGGGTGGGGTGGGGAGGGGTATTTCAGGGGGGGGCCCTTTGAAGAGCTTTGCCTTGTTACCACATTCACCTATGATGACCTCAGACATAGCCTACTCACCTGTGCATGCAGGTGACCCCTATCGCATGCCTTACCTGTGATTGCGTGATAATACGACATGTTTACAAATCGCAAGACATACACATCGTGATTATACTGACAGGGAGAGAGTGTTTGGTTGAAATTTAACTCATCCACATATCGGGGCGCTGGAGGAGTGGGACAACGTTATTTTCCGGAGCTCGGCTCCGGACAGCTCCGGCTGAAATGATTCACTCATCAGGAGCCGACGTTGTCATTGGTCGGGATTGTGACTCAGGTGGTCGACGTTTGTCGGCGGAATGCAACGAGCAACTTGCGCCCCACCGTGGGATCACGCGGACCTGCACAGACGGCCCTGTTGGTTAAAACAAAGGGGCCGTCCATAAATGACGTCACGCACCTGGGGGGGGGGGCGGGGTCAGACATTTGTGACGATGTGTGACGAGGGGGGGGGGGGTGAGAAATGTAACGTCACACCAAAATGCGCAACTTTAAATAAAGATATAACTGTTATAACAACACTCCTACAACATCAGAGTGCAGCGCCACATTAAATACGCACTAAAATGACAATAGTCTAAAGCGATTTGAAGAATTTTCTTTTGGGGGGGGGGGGGGGGCAGAGCTTTGTGACGTCATATTTGAGGGGGGGGGGGGTCTGACTTTTTGTGACGCCGTCTGACGAGGGGGGGGGGGGGGAGTCAAAAATCGTCCAAAATCGCGTGACGTCATTTATGAACGGCCCCAAATCCACTGCTGGATTGAGGCCCCTATCCCCACACCGTGCGGAGTAGCGGGGCTAATCCGACCGGTTTCACTGAGTTGCCATTGCAGGTCATGGTGCGAAATAATAAATAAACCTGTATCGGGCATCCCCTAAGTCCACTCGGCCTAAACTGTGTATTTGTTGTATGAGACGGCTGATTTTAGGGCCGACGGGTGAAGGTGCGATGCTGACAAGGCCACCCTCCTCTTCCTTCCGTCTCGTGTCGTGTCGGCCTTAATAGGCACTCGCCAACAGCTGTGAGCCCGGCTCAACACGGGGGGGGGGGGGGGGGGAGATCCTCTGTTCTCTGCCGTCTCGTGCGAGCGGCTGTGATGTCGTGAATTC